AAATCCCTGTGTGCATCTTTTTTTTTTTTTTTTTTTTTTTTTTTGGTACACACAAACGCCAGTCTCCCCGCTAGGAGAGGTTATAGGAGCACCCCCTCCTAGGGACCATCCTGCTAGATCGGCGCTTTTCAAGTGTAGTGACTCGTTATTCATTCATTGTATTTTGTTTGCTTGCTTGTGTGCAGTGTCCGAGTTTCCACTGAGTGCGGCCTGCTGTCTGAGCAAGATTTGCAATGCGCTGGAACTACAATGGGGAATTTTGTGACATGCAACGAAGAGCCGCGGCGGTTTTATGAGTACTCAAACAGCCTGACGGAACGCAGAGAGCACAAGATTGCGACTATAACTGTAAATTATCAGTTGTACCCTGCTGGATCCCATGCATGATGTACAGCATTTTTGCCGTCTGATTTGGATGTCCATCGCCACGGTCACCAATGTTCAGCAGGCTCAGCAAAGTCGAAGATAAAACGCATATGGACTCTTGAGGGGTAGGTCCCGCTCTCTGTTCTCTCCTATACCCTAAATGATAGGCGATTGTTAGTTGTGTTTGGTGAGAAGTCCTCCGGCTTAGGTAGTGTGCACTTTAAAACCTAGTTTTTTGACATAGGTTTTGGCTGAGTGAGGTTAACCGGTCCATCGGGACGTAGCGTCAGAGCATCCTTTTTTTTTTTTTTTTTTTGTTCCCCGCGGATTTCGAGTTGCAAGGGCTTCAACTTTTCTAGTGATGTATGTGTCAGAGCATCGTTTTTTTCCCCCGCGGATTTCGAGGAGCATCTTGATTCCTTTGGGACATCTGTTAAAATTGGAACGGTACAGAGAAGATTGATTAGCATGGCCCCTGCGCAAGGATGACATACATAAGTCGAGAAATGGTCCTTTTTTTTTGGAAAAAAAAAAAGGGTGAAGAAGAGGGGAAAAAAAGGAGCATCTTGATTCCTAACAAAGATTGCTTTTCTGGATTGTTGTTTGTACACCGGCCTTGACCAACAACTACTGATAGCACTCTTCGGTTACGAGCAAGAGGTAGGGGTTGCTTCTCCTATGGATGGGTGTGTTTTTGGAGGCTAGGTAGTGTGTTTGTGATAGCCCTGTTCCTTTCCTTCTAGATGGTTGACTAGCAGCTTGAAAGTGGTATTTTCTCTATTAAAAAAAAAGAAAAAAGGAAAAATAAAATTAAAAAAAGGGGAAAGAAAAGAAAAAAAGAAGGTGGTCTTCTCTGGTGCATTTCGTTTCGTGGCGTGACATTCCTTGGTCTGATTCCAAGGGTAGGCGATTGTACCGCAGCGTATGCTTTTGTTTGTGATCGAAATTTTTTAAACATGTTTTGAGAATATTTTTGCAATGTCCCAAAGTTCACTTGTCATTATCCGGAGGGACGGCCCGGACAGGGCTGTCACCAACGGGCCTAGCCCCATCCCCATGATCCCCGGCACACCCGTGGACTTTTGAAATGCAGACCTCAGTTCGAATCCAGATACGCTCAGATGAGTAAATTAACTCTGCAGTTACCACGGGCTGGTTAGTGCGACGATGAGGGATGGGGCTTATCACATGGGCTGGAAAGGTAGAACTGAATGTGTCCATGGAATGAGTTGGGAAAGTGGAACTGTTGGGAAGTTGGAACTCTTGGGAAGTTGGAACTCTCTTCTGTTGGGAGGTTGGGACTTTCTTGTGCCGCCAGGAGTAAGGCACTGATGATCCTCAGGGCTTGATTGGTGTCTTGCTCATGGAGGCCCGTGTAGCCGAAGCCTAATCCTTGTCCGGCAGTCCTTTGACGAGTGCGAGGGACTGGTCGGAACATGCTGCTGCTTTGCGTTGGGATGGTGAGAGAAGGGAATAGGAGGGGGGGAGGATGAAGGGGGGTGGTGGTGGTGGGACACTGGGAAGGCACCCTTGGTTGGACATGAGTGAGAGATGTTTTGTTGTTGAGAAGTTGTGGAATCATGGTTGGGAGAATGAGGCCAGGCCTCTACGGTATATAGATGTGAAGGGCCATGGTTGTCAGCCTCCGCCAGCCGTGACCGTTCACCACATTCTGGAAGCATCGAACTCTCCATCCAACCCGATGCTCGTGAATCGTGTTTCCCTCTCAACACAGGCTCCAGCAGTGAATATTTTTCGCAAAGCCTATTTCAACATTGTTCGCCTTTTTTTCCTGAAGCCATTCGCACCACGGTTGGCAAGGGTGAAGCAGCAAGCACAGTCCGCATGCCCTAGAGCAATATGCACCCACGAAGTCAGCAATGCAACGCCACAACATATGATGTCTCAAGCTGGGCAGCATTGCTAATGTGTACGCAGGTCTCTGCCGCACACAAGTACTCACGCACGGGACACGTGCGTGTGTATGTCTACACAAGCATGTTGTCTCTTTTTTGGGGGGGGCGCGGTGGGGCGGTCTCAGGGGCAGGAGTGAAGCTGCAGGGTGCTGGGATGGACTGTGCATGCATGTGTGACAGTGTGCATGTGTGGGCGTGGGTGTGATAGACTGCATGTGTCGTTGTGAGACTGCATGTTTGTGTGTGTGTGTGTGTGTGTGTGTGCTCATACGCACGTCATACCACGCTTTGACTGTGGATGGTTGAGCTCTGGTATAATGGCCGGCACACTACAGAATCCTATAACAGGGATGGTGAAGTCTGTCAACAATGGAACAAGTTATGGGTGCCACTGGAGCCGAGGCGCTTTAGAGTGTGTCGTACCCGTGTAAATGGAGCGGTTGCCATACAGTGTGAATGAAAAGTACGAGGAACATATAGGCTGGAGGGTAAAGGGGAGGTGGGAGGGCAGACAATACATAAGCACAGAGGACAAGGAAGGGCGGATGCTGGAGGGCACGGGGGAGGCAGAAGGACAAACGCCTTACAAACACACCCAACAGACATACCAAAAAAAAGACAAGTCCCAAGACAATTGAAGGACCGAAAAAAAAAAAAACAAAAAAGTTGGTAATGAAAGATTGTTTCGTCAGAGTTGCACCGACTCACCAGGAGGATAAACCCTCGACAATCTGCAGAATGCCCGTAT